TTGCTTGCAACATCCACTTCAATGCCGTGTTCCCAACCAGGATCAGATCTTAGACCAGCAACATTTTTCCTCTTCCTCTCTCTTCTTGAACCAGAGGTTGACATTCCTGCAATTGCAACAAATTGTAAACATTTGGCAAATTGTAAAAAGGCACAAGACAGAGACAGTTCATGTTTTTAATTTCCATTCCCAGGGGCTAATTAAAACAACAGTAGCATTATCATTTATAGCATTGCAGGCAACAAAGAAGAAGAAGGAAAATTGAAGAAGAAGAAAAAAAGAAAAGAAAAAAGAGAAACAGAGCCAAAATAAGAGAAATAGAGCCAAAAAAATATATTTTTTTTAATGATTACTCGATTGAATGTTTCTTGAGACAGTTTTTACTTAGCCAAGCATGTCAGCATGTGGAAGACTACCTTTTATGTCTCATACATTGCATTAGCATTTCTTGTTAAACAGAATGCCAGATGCCACCTCATTTAGCAATTAATCTCAATTGCCCCAAGCAAAAGGTTATTTACAGTCTTATACAGAGCAAATATATATATAATTTATATATAAGAGAAACATACAGAAATATATATATATATATATATAATATAATTTACAGAAACAAAAATAAATAAATAAATAAATAAATAAGAGCAAAAAAAAATATCGAAGAAGTGATTCAGTGAAGAAAGAAGAAAAGATCAATGAAGAAAGAAGAGCTGCTGAGCAGCGAAGAGAGGAAGAACAGTCTTCATAGAAAAAAAAAAGCAGCAGACCTGGAGTCGCAGCAACAGCAGCGAAGAAGAGAGAGGAAGAATGAGAAGAAGAAAAAGAAGAGAAAGCAGTGTACCTGGAGTCGCAGCAGCAAGTCAGGCTTCTTCGTTTGATGTTGAATCTCTCTTTTCCCAATTCGTATTGCCCTAATCGCAGTAGGTCAAGCTTCTCTATTGCTTTGCTTCTCTGCTTTTCTCATTTTAGCTCTCGATTTTGCTTTTAAGTTGCCAAAAAAATCTTTCAAATCTGGATCGCATAGAGTCACGATCCAGATGCAATCCTAACGATCCCACCACGATCCTAATCTGGGGTCGATCCGATGTACGAGTCGGATCAAATGGTGTATATTGGGTCGTAAGATCGTACGATTCTACGATCCGGATCGCAATCTTGACAACCTTGCTCACAAAAAAAAATTTACAAAATGAGATAGAAAGTTTGTTTCATATGTTGACTTCAAGTTTTGTACCTGTCTCATTTTGTAACAACATTATGTGTTCTTCTTTTTGATAACTTGGTGTTCAGATTAGCTTGTGTGAACATAATTATCTAAGTAATATATAAATTTTGTTATAATTTAAAACAATGTTTCTATTTGTACATAAATTAATTAGACATAATCTTCTTATATAAGATCACTTTATTGGATAAGTCATGTCTTTTTTTATAATCAATTTCGATGTTATTTAAATGTCAACCGTGGAATCAAGACTGCTATGGTCACCAATAATTCAACATTCTGCTTTCGTATATGAAGAGAATAATCAGTAGGATCTAATTTATTTAAGGGGAGGTGTTTGGGTGTGTAAAGTTCATACCATATACACTTGCGTAAGTTTTCACAAATATACATAAATTACCTTTCAAAATCTCTTAAGTTCTCACAAATATACGTAAGTTGTGATTTATCAAATAATTATGAGTTAACTTACATATGTTTGTGAAAACTTATGCAATTTTATAAAATAACCTATGTATGTTTGTGGAAACTTATATAAGTGCATATAGTATGTATTTACACACTTAAAAATTGCTCGTAAAGAGGTAAAGAAAACATATTTTTTGATTGGTGGAGAGTTGCAAGGTCCATAAAATAAGCAAATTTATATTTTTTGATATAGATGGCCCATATTCTCTATCAATTATAAAGAATGCTTTATTCACACACATTTTTTTGTCGAATTTTAAATAAAAGTTAGCTTTAAAAGTAAATTTTCAGACCTTGCAAATCGACTATTCCTCCACTTAGATGATGTAAACAAAGAGAACAATGCACCCTTTTGCTCATGAAGCCGCCTCAAGGTCAAGTAAGATGTGGCAAATCGTGTTACCGCGGGCCTAATAAGTTCAATACCTTTTGTGAACTCCTTCATCCAATGAATAAGATTTGTTCTTGAATAAATGTATGCCACAATTCTTTTTCCCTTTTTAATTGTAACTCGATGAAGTTGGATTTGCTTCTCAAAATCCTCTAACATCAAATCTATGCAATGAGCGGCACAAGGTGTCCAAAACAAGCTCTTCCTCTTATCCATTAACATTTCTTCCGCCAACTTATAATTAGAAGCATTATCGGTCACCACTTGCACAACATGCTCCACTCTAACCTTCTCAACAATCTCATCCAACATCTCAAAAACCTTTTCACCGGTTTTTGAAATGTCGGATGTATCCAATGAGGATAGAAAGATAGTTCCATTAGGACTATTGACAAGAAAATTACAAATTGATCTTCTCTTTCTATCCGACCATCCATCGGACATAATTGTACACCCGGTCTTCTTCCATTGTTCCTTGAACTCATCAGGCAATTGCAATGTCTCTCGCACTTCTTTTTTTAAAAATATCACCCTAATTTCATGTAAGATGGTGGCACAAGGCCTTTTCCATAATCTCTAATTTTCTTAACCATAAGTGGAAATATAGGGTTGTTGACACAATTAAAAGGAATTGCACTAGTGTAAAAAAATCGGGCAATTGTTTGACAAACATCATCTCTCTCTTTTTTCTTAAATAATTGATTGATAGTTTTTTGATTTTGATGCCGAGACTTATTCACCACAAATTTATCCATACGCCCATAATGTTTTTGTTTGTTTCCATGGCCACCGGCATGCAATAATTCCACTTCTTCATCGGAATCATCATCACCAATATCAAGCATTCTCTTTTTCTTATTTTGAGACTCCAATGTTTGAGTTCTCAAAAGACTCATAAATTTTTCCCTAACATCTTCCGGAACTTGGGGACATGGTTCACCATTTTGATGAGTGCATGCCAAATGGTGTTTCAATCTATATATTCCTCCAGAAAGAGTAATATTACAGTATTTGCATTTTACCTTTTTGCTTGCAGCATCCACTTCAATGCCGTGTTCCTAACCAGGATCAGATCTTAGACCAGCAACATTTTTCCTCTTCCTCCCTCTTCTTGAACCAGAGGCTGACATTCCTGCAATTGCAACAAATTGTAAACATTTGGCAAGTTGTAAAAAAGCACAAGACAGAGACAGTTCATGTTTTTAATTTCCATTCCCAGGGGCTAATTAAGACAGCAGTAGCATTATCATTTATAGCATTGCAGGCAACAAAGAAGAATAAGGAAAATTGAAGAAGAAAAAAAGAAAAGAAAAAAGAAAATGTGATTCAGTGAAGGAAAAAAATAAATAAGAGGTGATTCAATGAAGAAATAAATAAATAAATAAGATAATGACTTGGTCATCTAAAGAGCTTTACAACAGTAAGGTGCTCAGATCATACCCAGATGTTGATTCACATAGTAAAATTTCTTTATTGGTGAAGAATGATTGTTCAGTTGTTTTTAGTATTTTTTTTACAGAACAAAAATAAATAAATAACTAAATCAGAAGTAATTTACAGAACCAAAAATAAATAAATAAATAAATCAGAACCAAAAATAAATAAATAAATAAGAGCCAAAAAAAAAAAAATCACCGAAGGAGGTGATTCAGTGAAGAAAGAAGGAGAGATCAATGAAGAAAGAAAGAAGAGCTGCTGAGCAGTGAAGAAAGAAGAAGAGTCTTCGAATTCGAAGAAAAAAAAACAGAGCAGCAGACACCTGGAGTGGAGTCGCAGCGAAGAAGAGAGAGGGAGAAGAAGAAGAAGAAGAAGAAGAAGAAGAAGAAGAAGAGGAAACAACGCACCTGGAGTCGTTTGCCCAGGTCAAGCTTCGTTTGATGTTGAATGATTGAATCTCTCTTTCCCCAGGTCAGTCTCTTCGTTTGCCCTAATCTGCTTTGCTTCTCTACTTCTCTCATTTTAGGTCCCGATTTGGCCTTTAAGTTGCCCAAAAAATCCTTCAAATCTAGATCGCATGGAGTCGCGATCCAGATGCGATCCTACCGATCCCGTCGATCCCACCACGATCCTGCTCTGGGGTCGATCCGATGTACGATCTGGATCGAATAGTGTATAATGAGTTGTAGGATCGTACGATCGTACGATCCGAATCACGATCTTAACAACCTTGCCTGGAGCAACTATGATTTTTTTTACCACTACTTTTAACATGAACCATGATATAACCTAAGCCAGCATTGGTTAAGCCCACTAACTCACCCCCCGCTCCTCCTAAAAGAGGGCGCAACATATTGCTTTTAAAGGGAGTGTGGATGAAGCCAACCAAGTTTTCATATAAGAAAGAAATATATATATATATATATATATATTAAGAGCTCCATATTTTCCTTTCTTTTTTCGCCTAGGGTCGGGGAGTTTTGGGAGTTGAGAACGTACAAGTAACTTTATCCTATAGTTGATTTTGGATCTTCTTTTCTTTTTTTTTTGATAAATGCTTTTGGATCTTCTTTTTGACATGAAACAATAAATCATTTTGTTTCTGAAATACAAGTTAGACAAAAAAATAATAATAATGAGTATAAGTCTCAACCTGAGGTGAAAATATTTATCAACTTCAACCCCATTTAAAAACTTTCAACTGCTTCCAACATAGTCATACACATAAAAGACATTAGGAGAGAATGAATGCTTTCTTATATCCAAACAAGCTTTAGCAGTACCAATGAAGTATAAAAAAATAAAAACAAGAAAAATAAAAGCACTAGGAAAAGAAAATTATAACCAAATTTTCCCTTTCTGTTTCCAAATCCCCCAACCAAACACACAGAGTAACAATTGCAAATTAATCTCTTTTTCTCTCTTAATGCATCAACCCAAAAACCCATGAGAATAATTCATCAATAAAACAATAATTACCTCACAATTGCCATGCAATATAGCATCGTCAGCATCTCCTCCGAGTCGAAAGCATCATCACCAAGGTCAACTCTACAATTGACAAAGACAATTCCTTGGTATAGTAATTAAATAAATAAACACACAACATTCAAGTTTATTTCAGTTTGGAATATTGACCAAAAAAAGTTTGGAGAAAAAATTCATTACCTAAAAAAAGGATCTTTTTGCTGAATTTCAACAATTGAAGCGGTTACTTCAATCACAACAGGAAGACACCCTCTGCTTCGCCACACCGTTATCTGGAAAACCCCAATTGTTCATGCTAAAATTTGTAATATCATTAACACTATGTTTGGGAACTTGGGAGAGAAAAGAAAAGAAAGGATTAAATAAGTTATAAGAGAAAAGAAAAGAAAAGAAATGATTGTGATTTCTCTTATTTTTGTTTGGATAAGGAAGAAATAAAAAAAAAAAAATGATTGCGATTTCTCTCATTCTTGTTTAGTTAGATTTCATTAAGAGAAAAGAAAATAAATTATTTTATGTTATATTACCAAAATAACCTTTTTATATTTTCAATCATTTTATTTCCTTTATTTTTATAGGGACAAAATTGGTATTATGAAAATAATGGTTTCTTTTCTCTCCCAATCTCTCCACTTTTGGGAAGATTGAAAATGAGACTTATAAGAGAAATGAGTTTCTCTCAATTTCTTCCTATTTCTCTCTACTGAAGTTATCCAGACAAATAAAAAAAAATACATATCTCTTCATTTCTTTTCTTTTCTCTCCAAATCACTCAATCCAAACATAGCGTAACCTCCGTTTGTTTCTCGAGAAAATTTTCCTGGAAAATAGGAGTTTTATGTTAGCTGAGGCAATGGAGTGTGGGGAAGAAGAGTAGAGAGAGTCTCTAACGAACTCCCATTCATCCTAGGTAAGCCATGGGACCAACTTGTAGTTGCATGATCGGTCGATATCGACATCGAAGCTGCTCGTGGTTTCCACAAACCTTGGCAATGACTCCATTTCAATTCACTGTTTACAATTAAGGGCTTGGCAATGCCGCAACCACTTAATTGGAATTCCGTTGGAGCTAAATTCCACTATTCCAGCCCTCTTTTACCTAAAACTATGCTGGTGGCACACTAGAGGGGTGAAATCGGTCCGGTTCCGCCAGTTATTCTGCCACACGTTAGTGCTACTATTGCCAATAATTTGCCAATCAAATTATGATTACGTAAGAAAAACAAACATTATATTGTCATTGATTAAAAGAGTGAGTTAAAATTTTATAAAAAATGAGTTAAAACTTTCTAAAAGATATATGCTTTGCAAAAGATGCGTCAATAACATGTTTTCAAACATGTGTTTGCCCAAACTTCCTCCTCATTATTTTCCAAAAATTCTTTGTATCAACTTGTATGTATTCCCAATAAAAAACATGCACAACAATTTGGTAATTTGTGGAAAATATACATATCAAAACACTTTTGCTTGTATTTTACCTTATTACATCCTCATCAAAGCAAGCTAGTCGTATTTCTCCTTTTAAGCTCTATAGATTTTTCGATCCAATCCTACAAAAATCCATATATCCAATTATTATTAAATTAAAATTTTATAAAAAGTTATATAAACAATAGAAATAAATTTACATGGTTACCTTTTGATAAAACTTGATTTAATACATAGAACACTACAACAACACTTCATGATGAACAATATTTGTAGTAGAATCCAAACTATCTTTAGGGAGGAGAATACTTATACGATCAAAGGATGTACATATGGACAATACCACATATAATTGCCTATGACTAAACAATGGTATGCACAAATCATCCCCAACAAATTTCACAGATTGTCCTTCAGATTTATTAATGGTCAAGGCATATGCTAATCGGACTAGAAATTGACGTCTTGTCATTTGAAAAGACATTTCTAAAGAAGATGGTATTAAAGATATCCTTGGTATAAATGCCAAATTGCCAAATTTTTCTCCAGCCAAAATTTGAGCTTCAATTATGCGAGTGTCGCACCTAGTAACCATCAATCTTGTATCATTACATAGTCCATCTTTTAGTGCAATATTTTTTAAAAATATTATAGGATAACCCACTTTCAACTTAAAAGTTGGTAACCCAGAAGGATCCAATGAATTTAAATATTCATTAGAATATCTATTTGTAATGGTAAGATCAATTTCATTATCTTCAGACATTTTATCTGTTGCAAGATAAGTATATAATCTCTCTGGAAAGATATTCAACGCAGTAGTATTAATGTGACTGACATCATCGTTACGTGCAAATAGAATTGTGCGTTCAGTTAAATATGTAGGGGTTGTCGTCTCTATCATATTCAATTATGGGTAAACTGCATAAAGTAATTCATTCAAATCTTAACATTTGTTTATTGTTGATGGAAGGTTGACGATTTCTTGAGGATTGGTCTCAATCTAAAAAAAGTGAAATCAATAAAAAAATAAAATAAAATAAGAGTGTAAACACAATTTATTAATTTAAAATAATTTATATAATAAAGAAAAAGGTTAAAGTAGTGTTATCTCTATCAAAAAATTTGCAAAATTAACATTTTCATGGTCTCCATGATTCAAGCATATATTCAAGTCCAAAGTTAAGATATGTTTATCTATTTAATAAAGCATTACTATTTTTGAAAATTTATCAAAATGTATCAAAGATACATTTGGTTTTAATGGTCTACATAAATCCTAAGTATATATCAATGGTTCAAATACATTTAGTTCTCGCCCAAACACTCTCTGCTCTTTCTCTCTCTCTCTCCTACGTTTACCCAAACACGTCTGCCCATAAGTTTAATTACCAAACACGTTCTCTTCAAGTCCCTCTCTACACTTTCTCTCTCACGTTCTCTCTTCAACTCCTTCTATGGTGGATCTCTCTCATCACCCATGATCTTCTTCAAGGTGTTGTAGTACAGAGAAATAGATGGGTGTTGCTGTTTGCCACCGCTCACCACCACCGCCGCTGCTCATCATCACCGTTATCATTGATCAACATCAATCTACTGCCATAGCAACTCCGCGATTGTCCACCACCATTGAAGAGGAAGATCAGCAAACAGCAAAAACCCAATTCGCTACTCTTAACTTGCACTCGCAAGGTAAGATTGAGAATTGTAACGCCCTCAAAATAGTACAATGAATATAACCCAAAACATACATAAATGATAGCATGAATCAGAGTAAATAGTCCTTTCATTTCATGAAGTTAATGATATAAAAGAGTTTAACATAAATAAATACCGTATCGGCTTACACCTTTCCAAGCCTCGACTTGGTTACAACAAAACAGAGACTAGCTCTTACAAATAAGCCCTTGGCTATACAAAATATATATAATCAAAACAAGAAGCTCATGCTACCAAAAGTTCCTCCTAGCTATTGTCTTGGCGGAGGCATGCCCTCAATACCTGAAAATGTTATCCCCAGATAGGGTGAGTCACAGCCCAGTAGGAATCATCTAATATGGTATATGAAACTTAGCAAAAGTATAAATACACTATGCATATACAACGTCAGTGATAGTACATCCACATTTTATATATTCATAAGATACCAAATTTAATCCTTAATCCATTTCCATTCGATTCATTTCATTACATGAGCCAATTTCATCATTACTTAATAACCCAAATGAGACTACAACTCATTAGTTCTATAACCACATTATTAACGTACACTTCAAACTTTCTTTTCATGGATATTTTGTCCGCGGGAAACTGTCAAACGGGACCCATGTAAACATAGGCTATACATGCACTACAATTGCTATTTTACGGATATTTCGTCCGCGAGATCGACACCCATGTATAATTTTGGGACTTTCAACCAGTACACTCCAGCCAACTTAATTATAATGGAGTTCATTCCCTTTCTCCTCCCAAACAATCATTCATACATATGCAATGTATTTAAACACACAATCATGCATGGAGCATATCCCCTTTCAACTCCCAAATAGTCATACATATACAATGTATATAAACATAGCCATATTCAATGACAACCACAAGTGATTTTGTTGCAATTCACCTAATCCACATACAATTTCTACAACAATCATAACTATCCTCCACCGATAGGCCAATACAAATATTTCTAGACAGATATACAATCTCAAGATAGATAATTTATTTAAGATTTCCAAAGATGTGAAATATTACATACTCAATTCCACTATCTATTTCAACACTTGCTCAATTTCATGTTTACCCCACCAATTTCAATTATTTATATAAAATAATTATGGTAGTCATTTTAGGGCAAACATTCTCCTTTCTCAAATATCAACCAAAACATCAAACTCAACCATTTTGACCTAACATAATCTCATTTTCACAATCCACACTCATTTATTTCATATTCAACAACAATCCTTTCTTCAATATTATACCCAAACCCTAGGATTGCTTAAAACACCCTCAAATCACATCTTTGTTACACAAGAGGCAAATAACTAAGCTAAATATCATATGAAGGTGTAAAAAAGATCCATACCTCAAAGAGAGAAGACGAGCCAAGCAAGAGTAAAACTCCAAGAACACCGAAACCCACTTCTAATCAGATCAAAATGAAGATCCTGATGCACTCTACCTTTTTCTCTAAGGCACTAGGGTGAAAAGATCGACAGATCTAGATGAAATCTAAGAGCGAAGGTGAGTTTTAGAGAGAAAATGTGTAGATTTAGGTTTTTGGAAAGTTTTAGAGAGAGAGAGGGGGGGGGGATAAAAAAGTGATTCAAAACATCATCTTCACGGACTGTTATACACGCAGTCTGCTCAAGTGTGGAAAGTGACGCTCGAGTATTAGACACGAAGGTTTGCTCGAGCGTGGAAAGTTACGCTTGAGCGTGGAATACACATTTTCAGAAGTTTTGCAGACGAAGGACCCCGCTCGAGTGTGAGACTGGACGCTCAAGCGTCCAATGCACTCTCCCAGTATTTGCAGAATTGCAAAAAAAAATGCTGAGAGTTGACAAATCCCGCTTGAGCTCTAGAATGGCCGCTTGAGCGGAAGAGCCAAAATTTGGGCATCACAGGTTTGGAAAAATAAGCAACCAATCTGTTCCAAACACACAACTACGACACAATAACCAAGATAAGGGGTAGACAAGGGAAACAAGACATGAATAGCTGTTCTAAACCATACCAACCCGAGTCCGGAATACAACAAGTAATGGGTCAAAACCGGAATCACTATAACCTTCCCCCTTTAAAGAATTTCGTTCTCGAAATTATAAATTAAGTTCAAAGTTAACATTAGACCATTTGCAACAATGTTATTCTCACAAATTCAA